AGTCAGTTCTTCTATGCGGGTTAGAGATTTGGTGAGTCGTCAGAGACATTTCTAACAGACTGTAGACTTTTATCGACAGGTGCGTTTTCTCCAGACTCAAGATCAGATGGCCATAATGGTCGGAAACAAGAAATCATGGTCATGAACCAGTCGAGAATCTATTATTTTAATTCAAGAAAAATTCCCATCGTAACATATAGAAAATCAAAACAAGTAATTCAGAGAGGAGACTCTTTTCAACGAATTTATTATCAAGCTGTCCAGTCGTATATATATATGGTTTTAAAGAAGTTACATCCGATAAGTGTAGATGCATAAAATAATAATAATAATAGTATGAAGTGAAATTAAAATTAAAATGTTTTGTGATTATAATCATAGTTAAATGTCAAGTGGCAAAACCATTAATGTCATATGTAGAATTATTCACAGGATGTATAGAACTTGGAAGGGGTGTGCAATTATATGATTAGTGGGCAAATCGAATAAAATAAAAACGTTACGTAACATTGTGTGAAATTCGATAACATAGAATTTAACGTCGCAAAACAGAATTGATTTAGAATGATTAGTGGAGCAAGTGAAACAATACCACGGACAGTTCAAAGTCAGCATAATAATAATAGTAACACTTGACATAATAAAGCAAGAGTATACAAACTGAATAAACAAAACCGAAAAAATTGATAGAGCCAAAATAGGATTAGGGATTACCATACTTTAGCATAGAGGGATTAAGAAAATGAAAGTTGGAGGGGTTGAACAAACTTTTTCAGTACACAGAGATCTGGCTTTTCTGTTTCAATAGTCAAAGTTCCAGCAATACAGATGAATCGGCTACGCAGTGATTCGTGTGTATCACTTTTTGCTTTGTAGATGACTTTGAAGGCAAAAGCTGTGGAGATAGGGTGGTCATTATAGACCAGATGCTCAATGATCGCGCTTCTTATTGCTCCACTTTCATCTCTTCGTAACTACTGTCAAGGAACTTAACCCCAAGTTCTTATCATTTCCGAGGATGCTCCGAACCGACAACTATACAAGGTACAATTATTGACTTTAATTCCAATACACAAGGACCAATAAGAAATTGTATTCTTTGGCAGTTAAAATCAAAAATCTGTACAAAGTCTGTAAACAAATGTTTTACAAATAATTTATAGTACTTTTATTCGTATTCTTTCGTCTACGTACGACTTGTACACGACTGAACCATTCGCGCCTTCGAGTTGCCTGCCAGTGGCTGCCAAGGTCAATGAACCAGCGTTGAATGTTCATACTCCTTAACAACTACCATGCAGGATAGTGTTCTTGCACCCTCTTTGACAAAACTCGAGTTGAACGACCAATATACCTAGCTCCACATGAGCAGGTGAAATGATAAACGCACGTAGAGTTGGTCAACAGCGGGATCTTCTCCTTCAGGTTATTGGACAGTAATGGTGGACTGATAAAGGTTATTCTCAAAGATGCAACAAAGAATGTTCTTTTCAGAGACCGGGAGATGCTTGTTTAAATGATATCGGAAGCTATTTCACCTTTAAATTCCAATCTCATGTACAGTATTTTCTTGGGTACAGATGATAAGTCACATTGCATACTGTTATTTTATGGATTCACACTTATGATTCAATTCCCTCACCGGATATAATTTCTTTAAAATTACACATATATGTATATATAGATGACTGAACAGTTTGATAGTAAATTCGTTGAAAAGAGTCTCTTCGATGAATTACTCGTTTTGATTTTCTGTAAGAATCTGTTGCTCAATAAATGTGCAAAAGAAAATGGAGACAGATCGAATACATTCTATGGAGACCGTTGGGTGAAATCGCACTCCAGGCGATCTGTCAAGTCAAACGAAGATGGGAAACGACGAATTGTGCGTAATTTCTTGGGGTGAAGGGTAGGAGGCCGTGTGAGGTGGAGATGAGAGAATATGGACAACCATGGCACCAGCGGAGAATAGGGCGAATCGGAGATGTGCTATTGCAGCCTTATGCTCCACTCGGAACCCAAGGATAAAATACTAACTTTATCGACATCAACACCACAATGTTTTCTGAGACGATAGCTGAGGCTGAATATTTAGTTGACACGAAATGACAAGAGTGAGTTCACAAAATTCTATGCAAACATAAAAGTAAGTTTTTGATTTACCTCAACCGAAGAAAACTATTTTTTCAGAGAAGAAAGTATGCATAGTTGCAACATACATGAAGTAGTGAAACATTGAGAGTTTACACAATTAACTGACTGGTATATGTCAAAGACATTTTGATAATTAACTGAAAAATACACAACCTACTACTTACAAATTGTTAGTAGTAAGAAGCGAAATAAAAATTCTGCAGGGTTTGGTGCTTGGGTAGGATAACTGATAAAATAAAGATGAAATATACAGCTCATTTATTCAGTATGTTGCGTGAAGTACACTAATGCTATCAGAAATGGAGAGATTCTCGAGTTCCTCGACCTAGCTAGTAGTATTTACACATCAAACTAACGAATTTCATATCATATTGTCAGCTGGGCATTTTCAAATATACAGTTCGTAGAAATTTATCTGTTTGCATGAGATAAACTGTGTCATGAGCGGATATCAAAACAACTAGAAACAAAGGGACACCAAGAAGCTGTCTCTCTCTTTAATTCTTCTGTATTTCTCAACCATGATTTCCCACAAGGTTGAGTGCAAAATGACTGTGTCATTCGGCGGCGATATCACAGATCACTCATAGAGTAAGAAATTTTTCTGTTAACTGTTTCCAGATTTTATCGCTGATGTGATTCTATGACAGATGCAGGTTACTGGAGAGATATCATCGAGCATAGACAGACATTGGGCGTGTAATTAATTCCAAACTCTCTCAAATGACTGTCTTGGATGAAACATTCAGGAGGATAACTTCGAGTCATCTCATCAAAACAGAAGTCACTTCATGTCAATAAGCTCTTTCTACATTCTCAGGTGTTCATAATGGAAACAAGGGTTTCAGACTTGAACTTTGAAGTGTAAAAAGCAATGGTGTTCATTTTATGAAGGGTGGGATCTTAAGTCTTACTCCTAATTTTCCCTCTTTATTGGGCTTTTAATCGGTTAAGGTAGGTAGAGTGACTTCCTGTTTATTTTAGTGAGAATATGAGCTAATTTATGCCATGTCATACAAGCCTTCATTTCATTATTTTCTGATTTATACAGCATGTGACATTTCTGCTTCAGCTTTCTGATTCGGTCCAATGTAAATGGTACTTCAGATACTTGGTTGTGAATGGTATTCCAATTCAAGCTCAGGAATATTATGTGTTTTACGGTCTGATAAGGTAATCGACCATCTTATTCAAATAAAGTGCATGTAAGTTCAGAAATGTCAAGCAATATTTGTAAACTGTAGTTATAAGCAAAAAAATAATTCTTTCCGTTATTAAAAATTATTTGCCTCGACTGAAGTTGTATTTGGCATTCATTACAGTTTCCTTTTAACTTACGTAAAGTTACTGTTAATTTACGGAATTGTTGAAATACGCACATGAATAAATCTACCTTCCCAAATTAAAGTGTTACCAAATAGAGTTTGAAACAACTTAGCACTTAATATATATTCGGATAGAACTTCCTTAACTTCCTGTTTACTTGGTATCACACCAATCGCTGAAATTGTTTGTCTATAAACGAAGCTTTAGATAATTTTAGTTTATACAGTTTGAAAGAATCTATTGGCTGAAAAATATGCCAAGGGAAATGGAGGTGGACTGGATATGAACTGAGGAGATCGTTCAATGGTGTGTTAGAAGGAAACGAAAGCTAATGGGCCATCGTAGATCTGAGTAAAAAGGACTTCAGAGAATGGAGTTAAATGGAGATATACCATGTTCTTCACTCGGAACTCAAGGGAATAATAATAGTAATGAAAAGGTAAAACATCAGAGTGCAATAAAATATTGCAAAATCAACATGTTCACACTATACCACCTTTCTGTGTGTATTTATCTACAAAGTCAGTTGATGCAGTTGGAGAACTGACAACACTCAGTTTCATTCACATAACCGAAATAATTAGAGGACGTTTATATCGCACACTGCAGTAACGACAAATAATATATTAAATAATAGCTCTTTTATGCCTATTTTACACTTATTCCTAAAATTTCTACTATTCTTTTTTTATTAAACCTCATTTCGAGAAGGCAGTGTACAAAATAGAGTTGTTAAGGGAACCGTTGTTTACGCGAAGAAACAATTTATCATTTACGTAATTCGAGACTGGATAAATTGGTAGTTATGTCTCTGATCTCTGGGAGCAAACCAAGCAGGAACCGATTGTGAAACAAATAAGCAGGAATAAGTGGAGATGGATTGGTTGGTCATACTCTGAGGAAACCATCAAGTGACATCACTGAAAAGCCGTTGCTCAAGTGGAACCCAAAAGGGAAGCGACGACTTGGTCGTCAGTGCAAGGGTGACTTGGAAGAGGTCATGTGAAAAGGATATGAAAGCATGTGGCCAGCCTTGGAGCGGGGTGGAAAAGTTGGTGGAAAAAAGAAAGCAATGGAGATGCGCAGCTGAAGCCCTATGTTCCTTTAGGAATTAAAGGATATAATAATAGTATGTTTCTGATTGTAGCACTGTGTGATATCGACTCGGGTTTCAGAGAGGACACCGGTTCATTTGCGGTTGCATATAAGCCTTGCCAGTGACTGCTAACAAGTACGAAACCATCTAACTGACTACTACTACTTAATATTTCGTCTTGTGTGTGACAGATTCCCCGACAACTACTCAAGTGATCTCACATTCAATGTCCTCACTTATTTTGGTTAACCACTAGTAAACACGGAAAAGATGGATGGTTGAGTGTCAAGCCAGCAATGTTACTCCGTAACACCCAGATCACGGTTACAGAAACTTCGAAGCTTCAGACCTGAAGCTCAGTGTTCCACTTGGAATGCAGTAGATGGAAACATAATCATATAGTCAAAGCATATTAAGAAATAACTAATGGACTCATTTTTTTATTTTCTAATAACACTGTATAAAACAAAATGTCACTTGCTGAATTGACAGTCTAATTTCGTTCCTCTATTCATCTATCTGTGTAGTTATCCATTTAATTAATAAATTCGGTACAGTGAATGTTTCTTCTTCAGTTAGTACAATATCGTAGATTGACGAATATTTCTGTAGTACTTCTGCATTGCTCTACATGAAACAAGAAGAGGAAGACAGTTACAGTTGACAGCAAAATACGAATGTATATATTCTCTTTTGTGTCACTTACCTTCTGGTTTAGCCAGCCTATTCGTATTACAGTAGGTTGTGATGATGATGATATGAGTTCGTAGCCATCTGTCATATGAATATCATACAGTGAGTCACCTAATAAGATGATATTTGGTCGTGATAGTTTAAGCGAGAGATTATCATTGAATCTCTTCATTTTGATCATTGTCGACATATTTTTATTGCACATGTGTATTGTTGGTTCAAAGAACTCAACAGCTTCATTCTAAAGCAAAACAAAAGTACAGTAACATTTCAGTGTATTATATATCTAGCAGGGAGTGTCGTTATACAATCTGTGTCGACGGTAATTATTTACTTTTCACATAGAATTTATGTGTTAAAACCTCTTCCAATGAATATATGATGTGAAAGTACTCCGAAAATGGCTTTAGGAATCCCTCAGTAAAATATACCTTGCTGCTAGTCTGTGATATTCTTTTGCAAAATCTAATCTACAAGCACGTGAGAGAAAAACCTTTGCGAGGAGCCACCTTAACATGCTTATATTAGTTAACTTGCCTCTGTGCGGCAGAACATATTGGCCGTACCTTTCATACTTTTGTAAAGAGCACCCATAAACTCTATCCATTCTGGCTATCAAAAGAAGAATGTGACTATGACTTTATGTTGATAAGAGAACACTCAGCCTAGTTAGACAAATCCTTCAAAGTCCCAAGAAATAACTGGTCAGATTTCCCCATGGAAGCGTGATCAAGACATCTGTGAACTGGTGAAGTTGCGGCTAGTCTTCTGTTTTTCCTGGAATCTACGAATACAGACTATGTCAGTTCAAGAACAACTATTATAACAAAAGCTTTAAGCAAGAATAGGAAAAGCAACCATGATATCTCCTGACAAATATATTGAAATTTATGCAAATACGAAAAATAATTTTTTCCAATCCCCACCAGTTCTCCTTTTACTACGATAAGCTTTTAGGTTTTGATTTAGAGGAATTAGACTGATTTAAGTTGAGACAGTCAACCGATATCAGTGAGAGAACGGTTGGAAACTGCTTCTTTCCAGTCTGGAGATCTTCAGCAGTACACCTGCATGATCCCACCACCTTCAGTTTATATGGAAAGCATGTAGACCATTGGACAACTAAGACGGGACTCAGTGTCCAGTGAATGCTAACTTCTGCCAAATTGTGCTAAAGTCTCACCGTCAGCCAATGTGGAAGTGATACTAGTCAGCAATGAAAAGGAATTAATTCTTTACAACACTATCAATCTGACAACAGTGAGAGACTTCACTTGTCAGCAGACAAATTAAGAGAACAAGGCTTGCATTTTCAGGGGCTTGTGAAGTTAGAGTGTATAAACCCGGTCTTTGTGAACAGAGAAAATGGTGAGCACTTAGAACCCACCATGGTAATATGCCGTATTCATTAACTACCACTAATATTAATATTTCGTTCTATCTTTTATTATTATTCTTGATTCATTTGAGACTATGCTTTGTAAGTACCACTGTCTTAATTCATTATAATACTATTTTTAACACTATTATTATCACTATTATTATTGCAATTCCTGACATTGTTGAGTTCTTCCTCTGATAACTAATTGTCGATTGGAATGATTTAACTGGACTGTAATGCGTTATCACCATCATCGTATCTCATAGTATGTCTTGGGAATTGTAACCGGTAACATTTTTAGGGAACTCGAAAGTAAAATTGATATAAGGATGGAATGTGGGCACTGTGGTACAGTATAATTTCATGATGGATATATGCGAAGCAAGAAAGTTATGTGAATACCTTGATATGATTATGAGCAATAAATTGTGCTCGACAAGTCATCAGTCAATATTTTGGCATAACACTGTGTGATTTTATCGAAATGAAATTTTATCCATAATCGGAAGTATAGTGTTATGTTAAATTCTCTCTCGACATCTGTTGTCCAGAACGCATACTACTACGAGATTCGGTAAATTTGCTTCTCTGCATCTCGAGAAGTTACGCAGAGAAGGAAACCAGGATTAAGTGAAGGATAACTGCGGTGATAAAAAAAGAACGAGCATTTTATTCAGGCACAAAATACAGAGAATAAATGTGAGAACTCTCTTAAAATATGTACTAAAAAGATTGAACGGGATTATTGGAGGGAAGCCGATAAGAACTTTTGGTATTTGTTCCCTTAACCAGATCTCCATATACTGTTGTTACGGTCTCCAGCATCACAGTCTTGGTATCACTAATATGTCTGTGACGTTATTCCGATTGTTTTTCTTGTTATTACTGTAGACGTCATACAACTTCTGTAAATATTTTCTCTTATGTTATATGATGAGGCGGTTAGACACAATATCGTATCATATGCCCACAATCCAACACACATTAACACTGTTTCGAATAGAGTTATTATTAGTACTAACATTAAAATTAGTCTAGAGACTGTGATTCAAACTGTTTCGGAGTTCAAAATAAAATACGATTCCTAAGTCTAGGAGACACGTAGAATACATCGATATAATCCGTCACAGTGTTGTGTTAGAGATGGTTATTTGGATAAGTAAACTAGGACTTAGACAGTAAACCGTGTTATAATATTGTTATTGGACACTAGTAACGAGTGTGATATGTCTAGTCATTTGTTTGGTGCAGACTGAATTTTGTCAGTCTTTATTAATATATGTATAAAACTTGGACACTGTGGTTGTAAGTAATTCCATATTAGTTTGTTTATTAAATGTAGCACACAGTGAAACAGTATTATTTACTGGATGACGCTTCGAACAAAATTTATTGGGGTTCATAATCATATCAATCATAATCACACGACTTTGAATCTTGGGTTTTATAGTTTCCTTTGTCTTCTCCTATTTGTCGAAGGGGTAGTAGAATTTTCCAGATATCCGACTGGACAGCTGTTATATCATTCCTATTACATGTATTTGCAGTTGATTCGATAAACAAATCTTCTGTTATCAATCTCTCCCTCCACCCAGCTGTTACATTAGATTTTAAAACTGTCATTCTATCTCATCCTATTGTATGGTTGTGTGTAACTGCATGTAGTGAGTGCTATAGCTGAACTATTCTCTAGATTTCTTATCTTATTTGGGTCAACCAATCTAGATTTTGCTAGGTTTTTGTGTTCTGCTAGTCTGACTTCCCCTGTTCTACTAGTTTGGCCTATATATTCGACCTGACAATGATCGCAGGTAGGGTATTAGATAAACTAAATTGTTTTGTTTTAAAGGCTCCACAGGACTGATCCTTTAACCGACAACGCTTGTTTCTAATTGAGTTTGTGGTCAGTTTGAATGCCAGCCACTTTTATTCCTGCCTATTTCAATGTACATATTAATTGACGATTCATAGGAATACCAGGCTTCTAAATATTTTCCGGTATTCTCAGCGTTTCCTCCGTCTAATATTTGAACGTTATTCCAATCGAATTGATGTCCGTGGTTGTCTGTATGTAACGATATGACGCAGTGGATGTCATGGATTCGAAAAGGAAGAGAACATCCACTTTGGCCAATGCAGTGGTTTTCGAAATCGTTGCAGTTTATATTGTAGATGATGATGGTTTTATCTTCATTTATTGTTGAGTCTTTTGGCTGACCCAGGGCTGGCTGATAGTTTTTGGAAATGCGGTAGATGTGTACTGACCAAGAATCTCAAAGTAGGATGAAACAGCTTTCCAGTACACTCAGGTTTCCCAATAACTCTCTAAATTATGTCAGCTCGTGATGAAACCCTCTAAGCAATCAAACAAATTCCTTACAAAACATCAATACTTGAAGTGATATTGTTGGTTTATGTGCGATAGCAATTCCTAAAAGTTTGAAGAGTCTTGCAGTGGTTTATGAGATGTCCTTTACATATGGTAGGGCGACTTTCTTTATACTTTCCTTGAGGGTCTTTTATCTGGTAGATCGCCTTTGGTGTAGGTGTCGTTTGGTGAAGTTCTATGGATATCCATTCATTGGGAAGACGTCCATGAGGTATTTTTCTTCAGTTTTTCTTGAGGTTAGAGTGCTGTTATCAGTCCTGGCTCTCTTGAACAGTGTTTGCATACACCTGTTTTTATGTTTCCTAGGTACGATTGCTGATTTATTGGTAGTATTTTGTTACTGTTTTACTCCCAAATAAAATTCTTGTATTCAGTAAAATAATACCATACCAACGTTGCAGTATTGTATAATTAATTAATTAATATTCCTTTGGGTTCCAAGTGGAATCTTGCCTGGTTTCCCAGTTCAGTAGCCGGTCCTAAGTTCCGAAAAAAGAGAAGGGTGGATTTGGTGCTAGCTTCTTCAACCAGGAAAATAAAACCAGTCGCTACGTAACTTATCCTTCACCGAAATGGGAAAGACGGAATGAAGTGCACTGCTGAAAGCCTTTAGGAAGCCACTCAGCCGACTTGTCTTCTTTAATGAAAGCGGAAATAAGCATGGGGAGCAATTACTAATGCTATTATTATTTCTTCAGGATTTCCCGTTGTCTCACCAGAAGACACAAACAGCTTTCAATCTTTATAGTCGTCACTACTAATCCAATCCCTAATATTTGTCTTGCATTTTATTCCCATGAAGTTTGTGATTCCATAGGTTTAGGATTGCCTGAAACTCCTCACTCATCTATCAGTTGTCCCTGTCAGATGAACTATTCTCAGACTTAAATTTCGTCTCTTGCTATTTGATTGAAGTACTCAACCTCTGATGCTGAGCTTCATTCCATAAACTGATCAGTAACATTTGTGTATTCATTCGCTCGTTGGTTGATAGTATGTAGAGTGAAGTGACATTGTTTCATTGAAATCTGTGACTTCAGTAAAATTTGGATCAGAAGGTTTTTCTTCTCAATACATATTGTAAAACTTCAGCTCTGTGGTGTTGCATAATACCATATGAATTCATCTATTACGATATATCACACTTAGTAGAACAATATTATTTACTGGATGACGCATCAAGGCCAATTCATTGTTCATAATCATATCAATTAATACAGTACACAACTTCGAAGCTTGATCTTCATGCTTCTCCTTTTTCTTTTCTATTCTTCCGAAGGGTAGTAGAATCCTCCAAATATACTGTTCCAATATGTGGTATATCCTATAAACGAATGGATATGGAGTTTTGTCTCTTTTTTTAAATCAATACTAAGAGAATAGCTCACTAGGGTTAGTAATCCATTTCCAGTTGTATACTGTTTAGCACATTGATGACTAGGGAAATTCAACATATTGTGGATGCACGGTTTATAGTCATTCAAACAATAGGCATATACGGTTAAAATCGGTGGTCGTGATTCATGTAGAAATAGTTTTGTTTACCTCACATGAATAAACTGAGATGGATGGAAATACAAATGAACATAAACATTCAACTTCTAGAGAATGATGATCGTGAAGTCACATAAAAGGAAGCGGATGCTTTTGGCTGTGACTCTAGTCAAGGGAGGCGGAACGCTGACTGGCGTTAGGGAAATGTATAGTCTGTCGAAATCGTACAGATCAGCGAAAATGACAGGAAGGAAACGGTTTTAATTTATATGGCGCACGAATATCTTGATAATATAGAGATCTGAGAAGTAAAAGACATTACCTGGATTTCGATCAAATCATTTTTGTGTCGCATATCTTCTATCACCACCGTATTTTTGTATTTAGTTTTAAACGTGGTATCTGTATGAATATCAGAAATGGTGAGAAGTGATCTGAGTCAACCGACTACAATGAGGAGGACAAAACTTCTCCTTTAATTACAAGTGATGTGTGCCTTTGGGTTTGTGTGACTTAGCCTGACATTTGAAATGGAAGATTCAGCCACTAACGCCTGCTTTTATTATTTCATCGAAAACATGGACATACCAACCTGAACTAATACGCTTACAGCTGTTTTGTCTACATTTCAAAACATGCGGATAAGCATCTGGTCAGTTTTTCAAATGTAGACGCTAAAATCACTGATAAAGAAAATATAGTCTCACAGTGTTTTGTTCACGTCAGAGGGGAATGTTATCTATCGACTATTCATGTCTTGAGAAAACAAGTCTGTTAATGATATTGTGACCATGTTAATCAGTGTGTAGAAGTGAGAATACCGAACGCCTCGCTAATAAACGAAAAATCCTGTAAATTAATTGCTCAAGTTAATTCTAAAGATCACTTCTAACAGAAAGAGAAGCACAAAGTAAGTGTACAAAATAATGAAGGATAGAAACATACCTTGTCATTGAAATGAAAGAAATTTGCAACAATTTCTATGCTGTCAGTTTTCAATTTTGCATTCTGAAGGACTAAGTCGATAACATCGCCAAGTCCAGCAGAGAAAATTGTTAATGGGATGGAGAAGTCATGAAGTTTGTTAACAAATTTTGAAAACTTTTCTCTGTAAGAAAAAGGAAATAAAAAGTAAAGCAGAGTGTAACGAAGTCTCGCCAGAGTTAACTCAACTATTACGACGGAAGTTCACACTTTATATTACTGTCGATAAAAGAACGACTAATAGAAATTCTACATCATCTCTTTCCTCTATCCACCTAAGAATACCTCATCCATGGACTGCATCATTACTGCCTAGTGAAACGTAACTTTTAATAAGTTTATCAGAATTGGATGTACATGTCGGCTCAGAGTATATTATTAGTATACCTTCCACCATCTAGGACCTCAGTGGATTTACATTCTCTAGTGCGTGAGACATTTAATTACGTTTTGAACAAAACGATGAAATGAATGAGAAGTAGTAGGAAGCACACTAGACACAAATGGGTTAAATATGATGCAGAAGAGCAAAGGGATGAGTAGAAATTAGACATCCAATAACCATTTAAATGTTCATTTATTTGTTATAAATATGCAGTAAGTCTTAGTTAGGAGGTATGCTGTCTTTCATACTGTACGAAGTAGTAATCTCCATACTTTGTTGACATCACATAAGTCGGCTTATGCTTGATTGGTATCACAGTGTTTTGTCTAAAGTCATAAAGACTCAGATTGAGACAACAAGAGCCGGTCAACTTTAGGACTGAAGACTGTTAAAAAGATCTGATTGGTTCAACGGGAAATCCGTTGACAAAGATGCTAAAATACCTTTTGATTGACAGGCTGATTTTGTTGTACGAGTACGGAAAGACATATACGTACCCAATCAATTTGAGCAGTGCATCTCATAAAATTTTGTCATTACTTAAACATCAACATCCTAATTAAAGGAAACTCTTGTCTGTGAGAATGACATAAGGATGATTCTCATGAAATAATCCTATTTAAGTGGTGATTGTATAATTGCTATAAATTAGTTTGGCTGTTGGTCGTAGACGCTAATTTTGTAATACACTCCATTTCTTGAGGAAATCAACCTACAGACCCCGATCATACAATCATAAAACAAAAATCAACATGACTAATATTAGCTAATACTCACCTTAAACTTATTCGACTATAATTTAATGTCTCCACTATCATTTTCCTGGTGACACCAGCTGAAATTAACAGATTGTGGGATTCAGTCCACCAGTTTGACATAAGTTGTTGTATTTCGTCAGCATGAAGTTTCTGGTAATTCATACCAATTGGTAGATATTTGGAGCGCAAAGCTCTCAACTATAATTAGTTACCAATGTTAACACGAATGACACTCAGAATTCACCTCATTTCTAATTGTGTCATTGATGAATGGATGGGATTCCAATGCCTCTATTTATACATAAACATGATATGATTAGACTGTAGTTAAATTTCACATATTCTCACCATGACATGATTGAACTCTTTCACCAGTATTACTGCGGTAACCTGTAATTGTATGGTCGAAGTCTGTGATGACCTTCAGTGGAAATTTAAAATAAAGCATTTACACATCTTTCATTGTTCTACCTGAAGATTTTCACATCCATCCTGATAAAATTGATCTATCTTCTGAGCTAAACTATGCGTATCATATATGATGATGTTTTCATTGGAAATAGACTGGAAAATTAAGGCATAAGGCAATTAGTATTTTCTGATGAAAGAAATGAATGATTACGCTGAGATTAGACGCATAAAATTTAAAACGCTTATTAGTGCCACTGAACTGATAATGATTCATTTGATACATTGATTTGTATACTGGATTTCGGTGGTAGTCAAATCCAAAATATCTGCAGTTCTACGATATTTTCAAGTAAAGAGTAAACAGTTGAGTTTGAAAATTATTTGTATTTATATTTTCCAAAAGGTTTAAACAAGTGATAAGCGAAGATGTTTTCTGTCCAGTTGAATGTGATGTTTATGAAATTGATTTCGACCAATCGAAATGAGAATTTATTCCACACACATGCATGACCTGATTTTCTTCTCTCTCTCTCTCTCTCCCTGTGTGTCCCTTTCTTTCGCCACTCCTATGTAAATTAATGGAAATTATTCATGAGTTAGAATATGCTACCCTCTCGGGGAATTTCTCCTTGTTTGGTTCGTTTGTTGCTTTGTTTGTTTGTGAGTTGTCGAATTCTTGTTATGGATATTTTTGAGGTCAAGCTTATTATAACGCCCTTTGTTAGGGCTATTGAATTTATTCAGTCGGTTGTTTGAATTTATTCTGAATCCACAAACCCTAATTAAATTCAACAATGAGGTACCCTTTTCGTTAAAATTTCGAAGGTGTTTTTAAATATTTGACTCGGCGAAACATACCTCATAAAGCAGAATGTTTGAACGGTAGAAGACTGGTTAGGCTAGGTCGAAATTCGATGTCAACAGGATGAGTATTGAAGCGGGTATTTCAATCCAATAAAATTAAAACAAGGGAAATTTCAAATGATAATCTTAACGATGAAGACACACCAGTCTTCCTGGGTCGATATACAATTAATATTAGGTGGATTATCCATCTTATTTTGTTTTCACAGTCTGCAAATTATGCGATCTATTCTGTATCAGATATGCCTTCTCTTTGATTGTCTGTTAGGTCCTCGTCAGATTAACCACCTTCTTCGGGAGTTTGTTGTGTGAAGCTCTTTCCAGTAACACGCAAATCATCATTGCTTCACTGAAGATATTACTCGGTATACCAGTCATGTCGATTTATAAGTACTACACACACACACACACACACACACACACACACACACACCATATCATGACTGTTTGAAGAGGTATTGATGTTAAATCACTATCCCATGAAGTGGTAGTGGAGCTATCAACTATAATACAGATAAGAAAGCATTTAAAGCACCTCCTGTTCTACCGTATAAGGAAGACAAAACTGAAACTCTACGTATAACTCTTAATGGAGCATGAAATATGGTGGGATATAAACCTACAAAATCACTCAGGGACGACATCTGTAGGAGAAACAACTCTACTGACCCAATTAAATAAAATAATGTGATTTACAGAATAGGTCTCAATGTTTATGGGGTTATTTTGATGGAACACGCTAACCAATGTCATACGTCCACTCCTTTGTTTGCTGCAGACTAAGTTCTGTCAGTCAAGTTTGCAATGTGGCCACCATACTAACAATTCATCTCAGCGACTTTATATGTTCATTTATATTTCCACTTCTATTCGCGTTGCTTTTAATGACAGCGTTTAGTAACTGTCTATTGTGAAATAAGCTGTTCAATGTTATATAACCCCAATCATGCTCACCAAATCACCGCTCGCCTTGTCCACAAGTTTCAGCGTTCAATCTCGTCAAGGCAAATAATACACTCATTTGTCTGTTTGAATGTGACGCTGTTTTAGTTATCTCTGTTGTTCATTGAAACACTTCCCTACAGAGGTTGACTTTACCTGAAGAAACAAACAATATTGATATGAATCGTCGATCTCTAACATTCGCTGGCTCAGTGGTAGAATTCTCGCCAGCAATGTACATGGTTCATATTCGATTCTTGGCTGATGCACTGCTGCACCTCAGCTAATTTGTTAGCCCAGACAGCAAGCCCAGAAAAGAAGGAAGTTTGAAGTGAGTCTGTCGACCCACCTCGTGAAAATAACATCACTGCAGTGAATTCAGAGCATGACCTCCTATGTTCCTCTCGGAACAGAAGGGGATGAGACAGGGTGAATGCCTAATATTGGGACATTTACAATTACAAAATCGTTCCGGTTATCTATCGATATCAGCCTAACCTGTCACAGTGTTGTCTGTAAGACACCTACCTCTATTCTGATATATATCTTGGATAGTCCACAAACGATGTGCTATACGTTCCATTCATTTTGATCCTACATAGTTATTATTACTATATCCTTTAATTCCTAGAGGAACATAGGGCTTCAACCGCGCGTTTCCATTGCGTTCGGTTTTCTGCCAACTTTTTCATGGCGCTCCAAGTCTGTTCACACGCTTTCATCTCCTCTTCGCATGACCTCCTCCAAGTCACCCTCGCACTGACGACCAACTCGCCGATTCCTTTTGGGGTTCCACTCGAGTGATGGCTTGTCTAGCGATGCCATTTGATGGTTTCCTCAAAGTATGATCAGCCAATCCATCTCCATTTCTTCCTGGCTATTTGTTTCACAATCGGTTCGTGCTGGGTTGGTTCGCTCCCAGAGATCCCTGTTGCCGATCTTTTCTGGCTGACCATCTGATCTTGAGTATTGAGCGAAGACAACTGCTAATGAATGTCTGTAATTCGTTTTAGGTGCTCCTTATGACGCACCAAGTCTCTGATCCGTTTAGTGAGTAGCACTGACTGACTTTACATTGGAGTTGAAAATCCGGATCTTATTTTTAATGCTGAGTGCTGTTGACCTCCACACAGACTTAAGAGTAATGAGAGCTTGTCTTGCTTTTCCGATTCTAGCTTTGATATCCTCGTCAGTTCCGCCTGTAGTTGAAACGATGCTTCCCAGGTAGGTGAAGGAGGTTGTTTCTTTCAGGTTCCTCCCATTTATGCTGGCTGATTGTTGTCTGTTGTTGTTGTTGCTGTTGGCCATGTCTGTTTTCTCTACGTTCACCTGAAGTTCTATCTTTGATGCTTCTTGTGCCAACTTGTTGCTTTTCACTTGCATGTCTTCCAGTTTGTGGGAAATCAGACATATATCATCGGCGAAGTCCACATCCTCCAAGTTCTATCTCTTCATGAGTCCATTTTATGGCTGTTTCCTCATTGCCCGGTCCGTTGTCTGTCGCATTATCCAGTCTACTGCAATCAAGAATGTAATTGGACATAGTAGACAGCCTTGCCTCACTCCCGTCTTCACTTCGAAGGCTTCCGTAAGTTTCCCGTTGTGGATTACTTGGCATGCAGCATTGTCGTATAACTGTTGGATGAGATGTATAATTGTCGATGGGACCCCGTAGTAGCGAAGTAGTTTCCAAATGACCTCTCGATCGACGCTGTCGAAGGCCTTTTCAAAGTCGATGAAGTTGAATGAGATAGAGAGGTGACTGCCATTCCAAGCTTTGTTCAATGATGATCCGTAGAGTGGCGATTTGATCAATACATGATTTGTTTCTCCTGAATCCAGCCTGTTCCGGACGAAGTTTTTCATCTAGGGCTTGTTTGATTCTCTCCAGGATGATGCGACTTAGTATCTTGCTTGGAATGGACAGAAGCATAATTCCACGCCAGTTTTTACATTGACTTAAGTCTCCTTTCTTTGGAAGTTTGAATAAGTATCCGTTCTTCCAATCCTCGGGTACTTTGCCCTCTTTCCACACCTTCTCCAGCAGTGGTGTCATCAAGTCCGCTGTTGTCTCTGGGTCTATTTTCAAAGCTTCTGCTGGGATTCCATCTGGTCCTGGTGTTTTCCCAGCTTTAAGCATCTTGATTGCATTCAGGACTTCTGATTTCGTCGGGGGGTCAGTGTTCACTGGTAGTTCTGCTTCCGTTGTTGGTATTGTTGGGCGTGTTGTAGGTGGCGGACGATTTAGAAGTCTTTTGAAGTGTTCAGCCCAGTGTTTTCTCTGTTCCACCTCTTTGGTGATTGACTTTCCATTGTCGTCCTTTATTGGCTTAATCTGTGTCGAACGTTTGCCCGAAAGGCGCCTAGTTGTTTGGTAGAGTGTGGCGAGGTCTCCTTTGCCTGCAGCTTGTTCTGCTTCGTTTGCCATGGTTTCATAATATTTTCTTTTGTCTTCCCTGGCACTCTTCTTCACTCTTTTGTTCAGTGTATTGTAGCTTGCATTCAGCTCCTGTTTTTGTTGCTCGTCAGTGCACTGGATAATCTTTTGTTTCACTGTCCTTCTCTCTTCTATTAGTTTCCAAGTGTCCGTAGTGAGCCACTGTTTGTCCTGTCTCTTTTTTCTGCCTAGAATTTCTATGCAGGTTTGGCTCCACACCGTTTTCAAGTTGTTCCAGTGCTTTTCGACGCTGACCTTTTCGCTGGTGTTGATTTGTGTCTCGGCTTTGTCCTTTATGCTTGCAATGAAGATGTCCTTTGTAGCCTGGTCCTTCAGCTTTTGAGTGTTGAACTTGGCTTGTGGTCTATCTGCAGCTCCTGATTCCCTGAAAGCTTTTAATTTGATTTGGATTGTCCCTTGTACGAGATAGTGGTCTGAGCCAACGTCTGCTCCTCTTCTTGCTTTTGTGTCCAGTAGGCTGCGCCTCCACTTCCTTGAGATTGAGATGAAGTCGATTTGGTTTTTGGTTTGCCCGTCTGGTGACACCCATGTAGCCTTGTGGATATCTTTGTGCTTGTATACACTGCCACCAATCACTAGTTCGTTGAAGGCGCAGAAGTCGGCGAAGAGTTCTCCATTTTCATTCATTTCTCCGAGAGCTTCTCTACCCATGATGAGTTCCCTTCCTGTGTTGTCTGGTCCCAGTTTGGCGTTCATGTCTCCCATTAGTATTTTCATGTCGCCAGCTGGAGTATTGTCCATTGTTGCCTGTAGTTGTCTGTAGAATTCTTCTTTCTTTTCGAGGTCTGCGTTGTTTGTGGGTGCATAACATTGTATGATTGACACTTTCCTTCCTTTGGAGTTGAATCTGGCGGTCATTATCCTGGACGAAATCGCCTCCCATTGTGTGAGGGCTTTCGTTGCCGTTGGTGACATCATGATAGCCACGCCCTCGGTGTGCGTGTGGTTATCTTCTGGGCGAGTGGAGTAGATCACTGACTCACCTGTTGACAATTTGATTAGTCCATTCCCGTTCCATCTGCTTTCACATACCCCCAGTACTTGAATTCCGTGTCGTTTCATTTCGTTTGCGATCTGGGCAGCTTTGCCAATCGCGCACACAGTGGGGACGTTCCATGTCCCTACACAGACTTT